TTAAAATGAATGATTTGATTAGGCACACCAAGGAGCTGGTTCCTTCAATCAGCGTTACTATAACAACAACTCTCATCAATTTCAAAATTTTTTATTTTTAACTAAAAGATTGTGCTGTCTTATATCATGACTTCGCATTCGATTCCATAGAAACGCATCACAACACATGACTTTGTGTTCTTTTTGCCATGGCAATGCAACAGCAATACGTGCTGTTGTGTTTGATTTGGTCACAGCGAATACAGGTTTATAGTGAGAATTCTGCCATCGTATAATAGTGAGGCTACAGCCGAATAAATTAACCTTGGTTTGTGACGATTGCTACACATTTCAATTCCAACCTTTACAAAAAATGTAATAATAACATGGGGAAATTACTATTCTCAGGTTATTCTTTCCTACCATTATGAAAATTCATCTTGTTTTATTCATCTCCTCCAAGTCCTCTATTTAATCAACCCGCTTCTGATATTGCAAATAATCTATAAAGAATAGTTTGAATGGTAAAGCAACAATTTTTCAGAATAAATATAGCCAAAAAAAATATGAGACTAAAAGATACCCGTTGCAGAATACCAATTGTAAAAGAATAAATTAAATTAATTAATTTATAAAAATCAGAGATGCAGAGAATAGTAGTAACAGGAACCATCACAGCCTAACAACTGTGAGTGATGTTTGATACATGAAATGTATTTTGGTTTGTAGGCAGGGGGAGGTGACATTACCAAGAACAGCCACTCATCATACTGGAGAAACTAAGAACATGATGCAAATCAGGCAATGTGTTATCATTGTGTTACTGTAGTTACCAGTTACAAAATGGGTGGCAAACATAGATAAATTCTACTTATTTAGTCGACAAGATAGCTTAATGAATTCATTGAAATGGTTGATAAAAATTTATGGTAAAATTCTGACAAGTCAATAACACAATACTGACAGCCTCATAGACTCAAGCCCAGCTGGCTATTTAAAAATGTATAGTACATTCAGCTGGAATTTAGAAACTCTAGAACGATCATGTACCTGAACATACTTCTGAAGACCAAAGGTTCAACAGCTTAGGGAATACGTTTGTTTCAAACCAGTGACCTGAATACAGGCAGATGATCACAGTTCTACTTCAAAACTATCGTCATGGAGACAACAATTTAGCAGTTGAACTGGCTTCAGTCAATTCGCAGGGTTTGATAAATTTTTAAATTGATCACACCCCTTTTTTTAATTTTTTTTTATTTTTATTAACTCAAGTTTTTTTTTTATTCATCAAACCATATCGTATTTACTCTATTAGAAGCACATTTCCAATAGAAAAATAAAATGATATTGATTGCATCTCAGATCATACAAACTCAACTACTAGTATGTTTGACCATAGACAGTCACACACATATCTATTATTTTTGCACCTACATGCTCTACTAATAGAGTAAATACAGTATTAAGTTAAATTAAAGCATAACCCCTCAAGGACTGATTTAACTGCTGATAAAAAAAGATATTTCCTGCTAATCAATGAAGTTACACATGTGAGTAGGCATTAATTGACCCCAACTTTGCACTAGACCTCATCTTATTTTATCCACAATGCATATAAAATACAAGTACACAATTAAAGAAACCGGTTATTTGAGCAATGGTGCAAAAATTAATAGTTCATAATAATTCAATGACACTCCTACTAAACCTGTGCCTCCTACAATACAATAGAATATTCCACCACCAGGTTATTTATCCTCTACCCTGGATTTGAAGAGCATTTCATTCATGATGCAATTCATGATATAATTTGATTTGTTATTTATTAAGCAACAAAGAAAACGATCATCAAAAATTCACCAAAATTTCACAAGAACGAAGTGACTTTGTAAATAAAAATAGAATATAAATTAATACATACATGGTAGCATTGTGTAAATTTTTTTAATAAAAGTTCAGTCAACTTTCATGATATAAACTGACATAAATTTATTATGTATTTTGAACAAGTAATCCAATGGAAATTATTTCAGAGGAAACAAGTTACACAGTTTTGGATTGTAAAAAGGGTTCAAAACGATTATTTACGATACATGTAATGTTCGCTAAAATAGATTACAACAACGATCAGTTTGTAGCACCAGATTCAACATACTGGCAAATTTCCTTGCAGCCAATCATCACGTAAAAAACAAACCTTCAATAATTCAATTATCAATGAATAAAACATAATGATTGATTAACTAATCACAGTCACAACAGTTTATAGCTTACATTCCTTTTTTTCCTCATTTTAATCAATTAAAAAAAAATCAGAAAATCTGTTTGTTTTTTTCTGTTACAGGTTAAAGATATGAAAACTGACAGACAGTTTATGTACTGGCTTCCATTGATTGTATATCTAAATTAACTATTATTTGATGTCTACCACTATATAAATGAATACTTTATCGATGTGTGCACAATTATACAGTTAATAAAGAAATTTATTATACCATATATCACAGCAGTTTCATAGAAAAAACCAGGTGAAAATTTTTGATATCTTCATACGAGGTGATGTAAATCCTAGCAATCTGATTGGTTCATTTTGACATCACGGCTAACAATTTTGAACTATGCTAATAACTAAATATGGTGGTTGTTTTATGCTATCTTTGGATTGTTAAGAATTGTGTATCTTCAAATAGTTTCAGTTCAAATGTTTTTGTGTTTTGAACTTATTTTTTAATTCTTACAATCTAAAATTTGATCATCTGAGTAAGACCTGGTCATCCAGGTACGACAGTCATCTGAGTACGACATTGTCATCCGATTATGACATGGTCCACCGAGTACAACATTGTCAAATGTTGCTTCTTACTTAATTTATTCTTGGAAATGAAATGGGCATTCAACATGGCCCATAAGATTGACTAACACCCTAAAAACGGTCACAAATAGCATAGTGGTTGATGCATCAGACTCGTGATTGGTAGACCCAAGTTGGGCTGAACACCAAAAAGGATTGTGGGTGAGTGTGCCACAGACTCAATGGGAGAGCCAATTCTACTGGCTGAGATTCATTCCCTATAATGAATGCGAAGGAACCTTGGTTAAGGACCACAGGTGCTTGTGTTTGACCACGCTTGATTGATGCCATTGGATGGAGAGATGGGCGCACAGCCCTGTCATGTAGTCCCAAACACAAATATGGCTTCTGTGGCACAAATGCACTGTGTCAGCACTAGCACATGCAATTTGCACATAAAAAACAGAAAATACAGCATAGTTAACATGGATTAATAATCCAAGAACAGTACAGCATAACTTATCAACAATGCGGCGTTTTACAATATTTAAATTCAACCCTATTCGTGCCATTACAATATCAGCGTACCTTTATTATAAGCAAATCAGAATATATCTAAAAAGACGTTGACGCTAATAGTCATTTTACCCACACACAACCATATATTACATATAATGGTATTTGGGCACCCCGGGGGAAATTGAAACCCACACAACTGGGACAGTCTCATGTTTTGCTTTAGAAATTAAAGTAAAAAGCTGCTACCTGATTTCATGCATGCCATATCAAATTAAGCCATCAATAAAGAACTTTATATCACAGCTATATTCAGACTACATGAAGATGTAGGACAAGTGTATTTATGGGGAAAAAAACAGAAATAAATGGACAAATTGTATCATAACAGATGGTTTAAACCTGGATTATGCATGAATATTATTTATTAAAATCAAGAAATGCCAGCAGTTCGGCTGACGCCATCAATTTTGATCTCAACATTTTTAGCACGGAATGCATCCATGTATTATGGGAAAGGACAACACCACACGTTCTAATAGCAGCTGCTGCAGCTCTGATCCTTTTAACAATTTTACATGTAACAAAAATATACTGACATGTACAACACCAATTCCTAGGGGAAACACTCATCAGTAAAAAAAAAAAAGATTCTAATCACCTGCAACAGACATAAACAAAATTATAGTCCAACTGAAGGTGAAGAAAAAAAAATATTTATTAAAAATAAAATATTATCACTAAAATTTAATATTATAATTTATTTTTAATTGCCTTTATAAGAAAGTTACAAGCTTGTGTTTATGTTCTTTTGCAGTACAGATAGTGAAATTGACTTTGGTTTTGTTTGTTTTCCAAAATTCAATAAGAGGAATTAAAATTATCCAACCATGCCAGACAAATATACATTATATATCTATTCATACATTTCAACTGATATTTTTAATCTTTTTGTCTGTCACTGTCAACTTCCAGCACCATTACATACATAGTAAGCAAGGCTTGTGAAAATTTATACAAATTATTTAAAATCAGAAATAGCAATGACATAAATTGTATCGTATTTTATTACTAACATTTTATTGCTGTCAACCAATGGAAGCTATTTCTGAGGATGCAATAAATTTATTATTATTACATTATTCCCAATTTTTTTTTACTTTTTTCATTATAAATTTCACAACTTTTGAAAGAAACCAAAAACTAACACTGAAATCAGACATTTCAATACAAAAATAGTAGGCAGGGATATTAAGGCAATTACAGGGATGAATATTATTGCCTTGACCCAGTGTTTTTACCATATAGTCAATGTATGAAAATCCTATTACCAAGCAATCAATTGAGCACAAAAAAAAAATTGAAGGTTACACACTCAAGTCAAAACTGCACATTATTTATTCCATGAAGAGCATAAATACAAACTGCCAAGATTTAACGGTCAGTGAATGAAATAACATTTATTAGATTGCGCATGTATGACATGAATATATGTAATCATTGTATTTTTAGACATTAAAATATTAAATAATGTTTTTAGATACAGCTTTTCATATTATACTAACGTAACTGTGCAAGTACTTGTATATCCTCCCTTCTGCTGGAAGAAGCAAGGGTAACTGCTACACAAAATATCCAGCATAAGCACAATTTTTTTTTTTTTTTTTATGAACATTTTTTTTTTTAATGACATATTGGATTTAAATTGTTCTCATACCACATAATAAATAGAGAAGCTCCATACAACCCATGTTGTTATGTTCTACATTACAAAAACATTAAAAAATGTATAATGATATAAAGAGTAAAAGAGTCACCAGGCATATGGTTGCACTGTTTCTAACCATAGTAAACATGACAGATGTATTCCACTGCGTGACAACAGAAGGACTGACATGAAATGTGGATGATAGTTATCTCAGCCTGAAGGCAACAGTTATAAAGTATAACATTGTTTATAAGATTGGCTGAAGGGTAAATATACACAGGAACAATGAACAGCAAAGGATTGTTAAGTATGGACATAATATAAACACGGAAAATGAAGAGTCTCAATGATTTAGCCATAGGCCAAATTCCAAGGTGTTACAGCTTGGGTAATTTATATAAAAACAAGCGTTAGAAGGTACATCACTGGGAAAATGTTTGCAAAACACTGTTGCCAAGGAAACCTACCTCCTCATAGAATTGAAGTTGTGGAACTGGTTCATCGATCACATTAGTGCAGTAGTCCTTGAAAAGTAAATATCCTACAGGGTGGAAAAATTACAAATAAATTATAATAAAGACTTTCTTCTGTTGTTTCTTATACACATGCTTGCTGTCAATCTTTTATGGCAAATATAAAAGAATTTATTGTATTGCCTACGAGGCTTCGTTAGTTGGTTGTCACTTAGTGGCGCTGCATATGCCAGCGCATTTTCCAATTCGAACCCTGGCAACAACAGCTCACGCTACAACCCAGCAAGCAGAAAAAACTGAAGTTCGCCTGGAATTCAAACTGACCTATATATGTTGCAGGGATCGGAAATGGGTGAATTACGATGAGACAACCGAGGAGAGGTATTTACACATGGTTGTTTGAAACCGTGTGGAAACCAGGGTGTTTACATTTACCCCCGTCCTGTACTCGGTGTGCCGTCGAAAACTCCTTGAATTGTGCTGCATAACAACCGTCCATAGAACAAGCGTGTGAAGATCGAATTTCGAACAAGTTCTTACCGATTTTTTGATTGAAAATCTTGTCAAAGGTTATTTCACCCCTTTCCTCGAGATATTTATACATGACACTGCGAACGCTACAGAGAAAGAAAAGAAAAGACAGATAAACACGGACTAGACAGAAATGTATGAGTTCCAGTGGATTACATAGATGGCTAACTGAGGTGAAATACCATCACAGTTTTCACCTCGTAAGTATAAACGAAGGCACAAGATTGTCGAAACTACCTTGGATCCGGAAGTACTATCTTTTTACTTGCTCTAGCTGCTGGAGTAGACTTGCTCTTCTCCATAGCCATAAGATAGCTAACGTCAGCTAACACAGCTTCGAGGTCCGCCATTTTGACTGTTTCTCCGTACACTAGCACTGAATCGGTGGCAGCGAATAGCAATTATCCCCAATCCGAGAAGAAAAAAAATCAACGAGTTTGGTGATCGATCAGCAGACGGTATATCCTACACACTTTCCAAGAACCATTCGCGTCACACAGTCATTCAAACGGCGAAAATTGGCACCATCGGGCCGCGTTTGACCTGCTATGACAGAAGCAGATATCGTCACGGAAGTGCTGGGAGGGGTCCACACGAAAGAACAGCCGCCAATGAGGAGTGTTCTCTTTCTCCAATCCACGCATGTAATTGGTCCATTTTCAATTTATTAAATGGCCATGACGTCACAGTGAAAACATATCTAACACTTTCAATGCATGGTAGCGTTAAAACTTCGAGAATTTCTATTTCAATAAGTCAGAAGGTTCCAGTTTCGTAGAACTACATGTTTTATATGTTTGAAACTCCACACAACGTGAAATTGGGAAATAATATGCCTGGTTCAGTTTGATCATTATGTTAATTTACCGTCAAGGTGATGGAATTATTATAACCTTCAGCAACTAACAAGATTTGATATTTTGTTTAAAGAGAGATATTTCTAATTTCATAATTGACAGTAGAGCTACAGGCGACTGTAAAATTTTCAGTCATATGTGGAACCTGTTAGAAACGCGCATTGTGTCACGTGTTTATGCAAGCGTGAAATTATATAGTTTCGTACATGCTGGACCACCACACGGTATGATGATAATACACGTGTACATGCACTAATCTGGGGTTCCGGCTCCGCCTCGGTCAAATACACGTCGTCATAGTTGTTGTTTTTGTCTCAAAACATAATTTCCTTGGCGTGATATGCCTGTAGTTGTACTTAAAATAACGTGTTTTCCACCAGTCACGTACTTAGTAACCCCTTACAGCCCATACACTGCCAACCACCACCCAACGGTTTACTAGTACTTAGTAACCCCTTACAGCCCATACACTGCCAACCACCACCCAACGGTTTACTAGTACTTAGTAACCCCTTACAGCCCATACACTGCCAACCACCACCCAACGGTTTACTAGTACTTAGTAACCCCTTACAGCCCATACACGGCCAGCCACCACCCAACGGTTTACTAGTACTTAGTAACCCCTTACAGCCCATACACGACCAACCACCACCCAACGGTTTACTAGTACTTAGTAACCCCTTACAGCCCATATACTGCCAACCACCACCCAACGGTTTACTAGTACTTAGTAACCCCTTACAGCCCATACACTGCCAACCACCACCCAACGGTTTACTAGTACTTAGTAACCCCTTACAGCCCATACACGGCCAACCACCACCCAACGGTTTACTAGTACTTAGTAACCCCTTACAGCCCATACACGGCCAACCACCACCCAACGGTTTACTAATACTTAGTAACCCCTTACAGCCCAACGCCTGTAGTTGTGATATGCCTGTAGTTGTACTTAAAATAACGTGTTTTCCACCAGTCACGTACTTAGTAACCCCTTACAGCCCATACACTGCCAACCACCACCCAACGGTTTACTAGTACTTAGTAACCCCTTACAGCCCATACACTGCCAACCACCACCCAACGGTTTACTAGTACTTAGTAACCCCTTACAGCCCATACACGGCCAACCACCACCCAACGGTTTACTAGTACTCAGTAACCCCTTACAGCCCATACACGGCCAACCACCACCCAACGGTTTACTAGTACTTAGTAACCCCTTACAGCCCATACACGGCCAACCACCACCCAACGGTCAACGAATGTTTCATTTGCGTTACATACATGTGAAACAATAATAATGTTATTCTTTTATTTTTATCGCTAGAGCGTGACCTATTTGAGAGAATGTCGACTTTGATGTGATTGATTTCTAAACTAGAGGGCAGGCCAGTGGTATAATAAAGATATGAGCTGCCCTTTTACTGTCTCGATGCTTGGCGGATATGCATCATCGCGCACGTATACAGCCACCAGTCATAGTGTCTAAGCATGCACAAGTCGCCGAGGGTACTATGTAGTTAGTATCTACTGGTGACTAGGGGGGAATGTGCCAACTTAAAGGAATCATGAGGGGGATAAACATGCCAAGAACTTATTTAACAGCTCAGATTTAAACCTTTTCAATTTCACGAGAGCCAAACTTTAGCGAATTTCGCACGTCATTGAAAATCACGAAATTCTGTAACAGTTAAAACATTCTGGAATGTCAGTTACGCGAAATTTTGTTTTTACAAATGCCAAAAAAAACAGGAATTGCAAAAATGAAAATGTAACGGTTTAACTTGGTTACAATTAAAATCTGATTTCATTAATTTAATTAGCATCAAATACATATTCTAAGCTTGGTTTGCAACTTATGCGTACATTCCACAATTATTAACTAACTCAGCCTGACGACAGTTTCTAATTTATTGTGCTATTGTTATAGGTAGTTATAAATCTATTACCTCATTATTGGTTACCCTAGTACTAATTTGTTTCAGCTATATTGTTCGTTTGGGGAAAGAAATATATAATAGTCTTCTAGCAATGGCTAACAATGGCTGACAATGTGAAAGTTACCCCCCATCCCCCGCCATCATGGTCCCTATTCCCGTATTATGTGTCTGTATACCATCGCCCAAGGATGTAACAGAAGGTAAGGGGGAAAATGGTTCTTTGATTTCCCCTTTGAATTATTGTGTTCTTTTTACGTACTATACTGTATTTGGTATGACGTCATCGATTACACGTAACGCGCAGAAAATAAGGGACCGTCTCGAACGAATTTTGTTGACAATTATGCATAATATATGGCAAATATGTAAGTTCATATATTAAGAGGAAAAAGATGAGGAATACAAATCTCAGGTTCAATGACCGATGGGTTACAATGAATCACAGTCCCTCAATAATCCTGTTGAGGGACTTTGATTGTAAGTAAAACATATGTTATTTGAATTACTTAGTAGTTCGTTAAATCATTCCTATAGTAATTTCACTACACTGTGCTGAGCCTGGAACAACGATATATTGTAAAGTACTAGTATTGCCAATGAATTCGTTCGATATGGATCACAGAATACATTGTTTGTCTAACGCGGACTCTTGGACGACTTTGGCGCAGTGAACTTTCGCAATATTGCACAAACATTCCGATAATCTTGTTGATAAGAGAACCTAGTTATCGACGGGGCGTTGAACCTCATTCACGATTTAAGTGCCACGCGAACACATTAGTTTTCACACTTCTTGATACATGCATAATGACGTGCGTGGCGTGACGTGAATAGGAAACTCTAGTAACTCCGTTTCATAGAGTTGTAATTGTGTTCAAGATTGAGGCTATTATGCAATGGTAGTCTGAGGTTGCAAGAAACAATACGAAAAACAGTCCGAGGTCAGCGTAGTGATGTTCATTACATAAATGTCGTGACATATTTTCATCAAACGCGTATACAAAGAATTATGTCAATGGATGCACGAAATGGCATTAAACCAATTTAAAAACCTATTCGACCAATCCCATTGGCAGAGCTATTCGACCAATCCCATTGGCAGAGCTCTTCGACCAATCCCATTGGCAGAGCTATTCGACCAATCCCATTGGCAGAGCTCTTCGACCAATCCCATTGGCAGAGCTATTCGACCAATCCCATTGGCAGAGCTCTTCGACCAATCCCATTGGCAGAGCTATTCGACCAACCCCATTGGCAGAGCTCTTCGACCAATCCCATTGGCAGAGCTATTCGACCAATCCCATTGGCAGAGCCCTTCGACCAATCACATTGGCAAAGCTCGTCGACCAACCCCATTAGCAGAGCTCTTCGACCAATCCCATTGGCAGAGCCCTTCGACCAATCACATTGGCAAAGCTCGTCGACCAATCCCATTAGCAGAGCTCTTCGACCAATCCCAGGCTTTATTGACAAGTTTTATGTAAATTAAGTTGTTCTGTTTCAGAGTCTGGAGAAAATGAGGATCAATGCAAGTTCCTGGGAATTTATATTTTCTAAAAAAATCCCTAGAGGATTCATATGATATGAATCCCTAGACTATAAAGTACTAAAGAATGTAATAACCAGTGCTTCAACGCGCACACACGGCTTCTTGTACAAACGTGGTCAAATATTCGTTTTTACCACGTTCTCTTAAATAACTTTTATAGTAATATAATATATTTTGTTCATTTGGTACATTTTAAATCACATATTTTAAAGACAAAAAAGATAATAGAATGCTGACAGTATATTTTTTATATTTTGTGTATTACTTTTTTCTGTGTCGTATTACAACATATTCTATTCTGTCCGTTCCGCCAGCAGGAATGGACTGTAAATAATTAAATAAAATAACAAAACAAACTTAAATTATGTGAGAAAATTAGTTCATTTTCTAGTTGATATCATTTATTACATTTTATTCGCATTTACCATCTTCCTAGTTGAATTTGTATCTGTTAAATTAGTCTCATTTTAGCCCAAAATATTCAACTTATTTTATATTTTCTTTGTAACAATATACAAAAAATAAAATATAATTTAATAAATAATTATGCTTCAACAGTTTTTAATAAACATGTTGTTTATGTTTCATTTGGTTTGTTACAGACTTGGCCTTTCTAGGTGTCTCTGTCAGTCATGGCCGTTACATGGTTGCAGTCATTCATGTTAGAATGTAACACCAATATATGTAAAAAAAAATTGTAATTGACATTTGGTCGATGTTTAAAACTTGTTCACCAATTTGTTGACCAATTTTATTGAAAAGCCTAATTTTATTTATTGTGCCAAAAACCCCTTCAGCCTCGACATATTTCTTTATGACTTGTTACTTCTGGGTATGCTTTATTTTGTATTTTTTCTTGAATTGTCTTACATAATACTAAAATTTAATTAGGTAATTGTCATTATATGCACACAGTTTAGAAGCTGGATAATAACCATATTAATTATATATACTAGTATATAATTATGTTTTCGAGTGAGTAATAATAAAGGCAGATTCAAGCTAAGCTATCGAAGAGACCAACGAAATTTAATTACCGCGTTGATTAGCCGTGTTGACACAAACAGTTAATATTTTCATTTGGCCTTCTTCAAGTTGTCACTAATGACCTAGGGTAGCCCATAACAACAATCGTACACTTGTAGGTGACTGTAATATGAATAAAAAAGAAGAGTTTGTTGCATGGAAAGCTTTACTAGTATGTTGTTCTCTCAGTCACCA